TGTGTATGCTAGTAGTAGTGATGTATATGCTAGTAGTAGTGATGTGTATGCTAGTAGTAGTGGTGTGTATGCTAGTAGTAGCGGTGTTTATGTTAGTAGTAGCGATATATATGCTAGTAGTAGTGATGTATATGCTAGTAGTAGTGGTGTGTATGCTAGTAGTAGTGATGTATATGCTAGTAGTAGTGATGTGTATGCTAGTAGTAGTGATTTGTATGTTAGTAGTAGTGATGTATATGTTAGTAGTAGTGATGTGTATGTTAGTAGTAGTGATGTATATGTTAGTAGTTGTGATGTGTATGCTAGTAGTAGCGAGTGTTATGCTAGTAGTAGTGGTGTGTATGTTAGTAGTAGCGAGTGTTATGCTAGTAGTAGTGGTGTGTATGCTAGTAGTAGTGATGTGTATACTAGTGGTAGTGATGTGTATGCTAGTAGTAGCGATGTGTATGCTAGTAGTAGTGATGTATATGCTAGTAGTAATGATGTTTATGCTAGTAGTAGCGATATATATGCTAGTAGTAGTGATGTGTATGCTAGGAGTAGTGATGTGTATGCTAGTAGTAGTGATGTGTATGCTAAAAGTAGTGATGGGTATGCTAGTAGTAACGATATATAGGCTAGTAGTAGCAATGGTTATGCTATTAATAGCTATGTGTTTGCTAGAAGTGGCAATATGTATGCTAGAAGTAGCGATGTGTATGCTAAAAGTAGCAATGTGTATTCTAGTAGTAGCGATGTGTATGGTATAAGTAGCGATTGTTATGCTAGTTGTAGCGATGTGCTACATTGTAGTAATTTCTCTTTCAGCTTGACTATCTAATTACACTGTGTTTTTTAAAAAAAAATATGAAAAATAACAAGAGTCCAGGGTCTGATGGTTTTACGGCAGAATTTTTGAAAGCATTTTGGAAATATTTAGGTGAATATGTTGTTCGTTCCATTAATTATAGTCTTTTAGTAGGTCAGCTCTCAGTCACACAAAGACAAGGTATAATAACATGTATTCCAAAGGGAGACAAGCCACGTCATTTTCTGAAAAACTGGAGACCAATTTCACTTTTGAACATCACATATAAAATAGCTTCTGGAGTAATTTCTCATAGGATAAAATCAATATTAGGAAAGGTAATTAATGAAGACCAGACAGGATTTTTATCAGGGCGCTATATTGGGGGAAATATTCGTACAGTATATGATATAATGCATTATGCAGAAGAACTAAACATCCCAGGTATGCTACTTATGATAGACTTTGAAAAAGCTTTTGATTCTGTTTCATGGGTTTTTATTGATAAGCTATTGGAGTATTTTAATTATGGGGTAAACATTAGAAAGTGGGTTAAAACTTTACATAATAATGTATTTTATTCGGTTAATCAAGGTGGTAACATTTAGGTACCTATCAACATACAACGCGGCTGTCGTCAAGGGGATCCAATTGCCCCATATATTTTTATTCTTTGCGTTGAAGTGCTAGCAGCTAGAATAAGAAATAATAGAAATATGAAAGGAATCCAAGTTCAAAATGTAAGTATTCTAAATATACAATATGCGGATGACACAGGCTTAATACTAGATGGTTCAGAGAGGTCTCTAAATGAATCAAACCTTGAATTAAACAGTTTTGCAAAGATCTCCGAACTAAATATCAATACTAACAAAACTCAGGTTGTATGGATAGGCAGTAGAAAATACAGTCAGGAAACTTTCTTGCCAGAACTTAATCTGCTTTGGGGGAAAGATAAGTTCACCTTTTTAGGGATAGATTTTTCTGTTGATTTAAGCGAGATCCCAAGAATGAATTTTGATAAAAAAAATTGTGAAACTCAAATCTCTTATAAATTTATGGAATAGGAGGAGTCTGACTCCAATAGGTACAATCAATATAATAAAGTCTCTGTTAATTTCTCAACTTAATTATCTTTTTATTACCTTGCCAAACCCACCTGAAAGGTATATTACAAAGCTGAATTCCTTATTATTTGATTTCCTGTGGAATGGCAAACCCCATAAAATAAAA